AAAAAACAAAAAACAGATCCGTCGTAATAAAAAGATAATAATTAGTTGATAACTATAATTGCAATTCTCATCGCAGACAGGAAGTTGAACATTTCGTACTTGTTAATTAATAACCAAATGGTAAGCTTCTGTAGCAGATGCGATTCTAAACAAACCTATGCACACATCAACCGACACTTATTCCCTTATCCGGTTTAAAAAAAAAAAATTGTTGCATTTTATAATGAGAAACAATACTTACCCGTGCAAAACCGACGAAGAACAATTGTTCCTCGCTTAGACCCAGGCCAGGGAGAGCGCCCTCAGTGCCTTCTTTGTCAACCAACGTTTTATAAGCCTGAGGTAAAAAAAAAATAACACTTATAAAGCAAAATAAAATGACTGGTTAAACTGACAATTAGGCGGTCAGAAAAAATGGAATTTTGTAAAAATCCACAAGACGACTTGATTAATGAAAATATTGCGCATAATGTTGAAACACAATCTTACATTGAATGCTAGTTTGATCCCTCCATTATCAGCGATGTTCTCGTTAATTGTTTGATTACCGTTTATCTGAAAAAAAAAAAGACAAAAAAGTGACATGAATGTACTTTTCGTCATTTTAAAATACTGTAAGCAAATAGTCGACTAGAGTATCTACCTCGCGACTGTTATAGTCGACACTAAAATGAAAACAGAGAATTCCCCGTTAAAAATCCCAGAGTAATTCTGAATGCTTTAGACTGACTGAAATTCCGAAGCTTATTGTTTAAAAAACGCTTCTTCAATTAAGAAATTGATGTCAGTTTTTCATGCGTCTGTCCTATTATTGATCATGAATTTTGTCATAACATTGTCAAAGGAGGTGTGGTCTACTAGGCGATAGCTGAGTGGATCCAGACTACTTTGACAATGTTATGACGAGATTCATTGTCAATAACAGGACAGACGCATGAAAAACTGACGTCCATTTGTTTTTTTACGACAACAAATTGTCGAATTGGCCGCTCTCGCTCGTTGTCGCATCGCATAAATTATAAATTCATGTGTCTGTCCGCTTATTGACAATGAAAATGCGCCGATGAACGCGCGAGAATTTATGCAGTTATCGTAAAATAAACCATCGAAATACTTAGTTAAGGGCGCTAAAAGGCATTTTAAGCAATATATCAAACAAGATAGACAGTGTTTCATCGGGATATCCAAACACCGAGAAGAGAGTTGAAAATAGGACGCGCAGCGGAGTATTGGATAGCCGATGAAACACTGTTTCGGAGCTGTAAAATCATCAAAATCTAGCAATGCTAATTAATACCGGGTTCCAAACCTCCTTCACGGTCGTGAGTTTCTTTGTTATAATGAGTTTATGAACTTAAGGTGAAGGAAATCAAATACAGATAATATTTAACAACTCCTTTTGTTCAGGAAACGTTTTTTTTTTTTCAACGAGCTCATGCAACATATCACCTAACTTCACCTTTTTTTCGTAGACCTCGAATTTTGAATACTGCTTTGCAAGGCAACTTGCTCTAGTACGGAATCCATTCTGAGACACAGGAGACCACCAGTTCTTTACGTTACCATCCTTGTCAAAAAACTTTCCTTTAAGTGAAACAAAATGAGTAATATATTAATTTATAGTATCCACACGTTCACGGTGAATTTTGCTTGAAGGAGCAAGGTCACACGTAATGCGTGCCCTCTGGAAACAAAAAACGTGGAAAAAAATCGGACCGCTGTTTTTCGCGTTCTCCATGAGTTCGACTAAGTCCCTTCGAGCTAAGTCATAGGAGACTGTTCTATCTTTACCACCCTGTTTCCTCATTGTTTTGTTGTTATCGTTCTATGTTTTTGACCTTACTGGTTTATTAACTTGAGGTTTCTGTCGATTATGCGGTAATAAGGCAAGATGTTTGCCGTCTAAGCGACGGCAAACATTTCGCATCACCACTAGATGTCTCCCTAGTCCATAATTTGACAGGCTTTTACCTCTCCAGTTAAAATAAAGTGTCTAATCTATGAACGCGACGGCCCCGATTAGGCCAACGGCCCTTATACATTGGAAACTTAATTAAACCACGCGATACTGCCCTGTTTCGCCAGAAAAATCATTGGAGATAATTTTTGCTACTCACTCAAAATTGACCTGTTGAAGCATTGTCATTCATTTTAAAATTAGTTTTTCTCTCATCCTTACCAGCATTGTCGAATCCATGTGTTATTTCATGCCCAATCACCATACCGATCCCGCCATAGTTAAAATATCTGAGAGTGAAAAGTAAAGTACTCTCCATATTGATTAGTAATAGTAACTGGACCGAGTGGAGTAAAATTCAGAGAGAAATCGTGCCGGCGTGTAATTTCAAAATCGGACGAGCGTGGAGAGTGAGGCCGATTTGAAATTACGAGCACGGTTACTCCCTGAATTGTATAGTAAGGCACGAGATCCGGTTACTAATTAATCGCATCTATAACAAGTTTCGAAATTAAAAATGGTCTTCGAGGACTTCTTTTGGGCAAAAACGTTTTTAGCGCTTTTCATAAGTTTTAAAAACTGTGGGAAACTTTCAGAAGAAAGCCGTTAAAGTGCGCGTAATGGACGCGCGAGTGGCGTAGGTATCTGCTAAATTCCCCGTGATTGGAATAGTTCCATGGGGCAAAAGTGTAAATGAGCAATTCTTGTTTTCTACATACCCCAACCGAGAGAGCTACTCAACAATCTGTCCCCAATCATAACAGAACACATCTCTAACAACAACCAACAATAAGCAATACTACTCACTCAGTAATACTTACTATGGATAGAGTGGATTGTAAAACGGTGGCTGCAAAATGGCCGCTAAAAAAACTAAGAAAGAAAAAAAGTTAAAAAATATGAAATAAACATAATAGTATTTAAAGGTATTATATTCTGATAATTATAACCCTCCTTGCAGTACCAATTACGGGTGTTGGTGTGTTTTACCAAAATGTGTTACGATCGTCGGCCGAGTGCCGGTTCGATCAAAGCTGTACCCTTGTAATAATGTAATTCATATACCTTGTTAGTGTTTGAACATAATACCAAAAAGTTTGTTTTTTTCCCTTAAATTTGATTTTACTGACGACATACGCCTAACTAAACCAATTCTCCTTTGATTGCTCGTTCCTCTTTGTCGTTCCTTTTATAATTATATGTCGGTGGTAGATTGTTGTCATAATAGTTGCTTTTTAAATGTTTTATAAAATGCTAAAAGTTACTAAGATTTTTAAAAACCCAAAACGTTTTCGACTGCACGGTCATCATCAGTGGTAGACGAGGAGGCCAGAGTGGGTGGGTGGGGGTTGAGGTGCGGGCTGGCGCAGCTACGAAAAGATGCTTCATATACGTTTAAAGTAAAATGCATGTATCAAATAACCAAAAGTACATGTAGAAAAGGAGAACCGTAAACAAGTCAAACTCGAAAATAAGAGAGAAATGAGCAGGCAAAGCAAAGAAAAATTGTCTTTTTCCTCAATAATTTGGTTACAAGTCTTCAGCGGTAGCCACCTGTAAGCGAACCCTAGCTCTGACCTGGTTCTTGAGAGCAAGGCACATATTTTTTTTACACAAGCAAGAGAAAGCCTAATAGATGTGAAACTTACCGATTCGATTTTGCCTCGGTGAGTAGTAGCCATTCACTTGTGAAGGACCTAGAAACCATCTAAGAACGTAGAAAAACATTAGAGTAGAGAGTTAGCGCTTAAATTTCCTATCTTCTAAATATCTGAGATCTCTTGATATTAAAAATGCAATACATAGAGCAGGAGAGCTCGTGCTCGTTATAATTTGCCTTGTAGCCCTACTGTATATCAAGTAACATTCGAGTTGTCCTTATCAGTTTACTATTGTGTTTCCTGTGCTAATTAGAGCCTATATTAGATTGAAGATGGCCTGTATTAGCCTGTAGTCTTCCCATACCTAATTTGTGGTATTTTATTCAGTAGGATTGTCTCAACGTCAAAGAGTGCCGTGCTAATTAGAGCCTGTGTCGAATAGCTGCAGAGGCTATATGTTACTGTGCTTGATTTGTCTATTGTAGCTTTGAAATAAGGCAGATTTGAGAACAGCTATTGAAAAAGTAAAATCATTTGCTGTGAATAGGCGATTTTTTCTAAATTTTGTATTGGATTGATTTAAGAATTAAGCAAAACGGAGGCAATTTTTTCCATTTGTTTTTAAGAAAGTCATTCTTAAGCTCTTTGGTATAAAAAAAAAAAAAAAAAAAAAATTGGCGAAGACTCAGCTTTCACCAACAGGACAAAACGTAGCGTTTACCAACAGGACAAAACTTAGCTTTCACCAACAGGACAAAACTTAGCTTTCACCAACAGGACAAAACTTAGCTTTCACCAACAGGACAAAACTTAGCTTTCACCAACAGCACAAAACTTAGCTTTCCCCAACAGGACCAGCACAACAAACAAAAGGAAGCATGTTACTCACTGGTCTCTATCGACAGGTTTATCTAGGGACCTGTACGACAGGTCAGCGGAAAACGCCATGGCATTAACTACATTTTCAAAGAGATTATTCCCCACGTTCAGCTGTGAAATGAAAAAAAATAATTTATTGATTTAGATTGCGCTTTTTAACATATAATGATCAAAAGCGCATTACAATATTAAAATGTACTAAATATGTACATAAACTAAATTTAACAATAACAAAGTAATTAAAGCGCTAAATTTAGAGAGTTGTGTATTTGTAGCAGTTTTTTTTCGTACCGAATGGAATGACAGTGTAACTCAGTATCGCTTTTCGTAACTGCACTCTTACTGTTATGTGATCCTAGGAGACAATGGTTACAACACTTTAAGACAAAGTTGCAAATCCTTTAGGTTTCACCCACAACTTACTCCTTTGATTTTGGCAGCTAGCTTTGAAGGGTTCTTGATGTAACTTGGATAACCTATATCCTCGGTGATGGCGTTAGCCTACGACAGAAAAACGTATGAAGAAAAAGAGCGAAACTCGCAAGTGACGTGGTATTGTAACGTAAGTGAATTATAAATACTCCGTCCATCTCATGGATCCACTGGATCTGGCACTCTATAACTTACAGTCCTTTGTCGTTTGTTTTTTTTTTCTTTGTCTTGCAGCGCGGCAAAAGTTGACGTAACGGTCGTTCAAGGGTCCCTCAATTTCAAAGGAATATCGCTTAACTTAAATGCATCTATCACTCGCACAAGCAGCTGACCTTCTCTATTGCATTGGCTTTTGTCTCTTCAGACATCCAAGGCAGTGTGTCTACAGTCTTGATAAACTCTTCTCTAATCAGCCTAGTCATCTGTGTTATCTGTAAAAAAAGCAATTTGTTGGCAGTTCGTATGAAAATAACACAATTATCGCGCTCCATATGGGGGAATATGGAGTGATGTTAGTTAACTCGGGCTTTGGCCTTGGACATCGCCTACTGTAAATCAGATAGTTCGTGTAGTGTGATCCTATGAATGGGAGTACAATCAAAGTTTCACACTGCAACTATATCTGGAAATTCTCTCAAAATAGCACGAGCCTTTGGGCAAATGCAATTTGAAAGAATTTTCAAATATAACGAGCAGTGTAAATCCTTACTTGCTTGCGGAGCTTTCATACAATTTTCTCAGTCATGTAATAATTGGTAATAGAGTTATCAGCAAATACCCCGACTCATTTCTGAACAAATTTTGATCGTCATCTTGACAAAACGAAGCGTCCTCTTTAATTATAATGAAGTTAACCTCAGACAAGATATATGAGCTAGGGAAAAAAACATCTGTCCGTAATTGGTGGGCATAAGCTGGTTTCCGTACGGCGTTATTCAACCGAGTAGCTTGTTACATTGAATATTCAAACTCGTAAGTGTTGCCGGCACAACGACTATTTGAAAATACGTCAAGACTTAACACTACTTCCTGTCTAAATTTTTGATTGAATTCCATTCTTTACTTTACTACGTACCTTTTCTTTACTTCCTTCGTCAAACGCCTTATCCACAAACAGCAAGCCAAGGGGCATGCCAAGGACTGGCTGCATTCTGTCGATACACTCTTCCCAACGTTGCCTTGTCCTGTTCCCAATAACGGTCACTACATACTCGTCGTAGGCATCCCTGTATTTCTGCGGCATGATTTTGATGAAGTTGTGGATCACCGTCCACATAATATAGTTGACAACAACCACAGGGTTCCTAATAGGACACGACAAACGAAATCATCATATGCATCGATTGATGTAGCGGAGTAAAGGTGCCTTCATTTATTTGTACCGATCTGTCTACCTTAAAGAGGTCAGTGACACGCAACGGGCAGAAATTTAACAGCTCTCGTGAGCTTGTGACAGACCTTTTTAGCCTGGGCGGTTTGTTGCCCCATTTCAGGGCATGTGATAATACTCTTGAGAATTCTTGCTTTTAAATTTTCAGATAGCCGCTTGTATGAATAATTTTTAAATGGATTCTCAATTCTCTAGTGAATGTCGCGTGGTCTGAAGTGGGGAAAAAAAAAACATCCAAGCTAAAAATCTATTCTTTTGCTTGTAAGCAGCTATTGATGTTTTGGGGCTAGGTGCATTGTTTCTGTTGTTTGTTCTACTGTTCCTTTGAAGGGTATTGAGCCATTCATGTGAGACCTTTAATACGAGACCTGCCACGCGACAGTAACTTCATTTCAACTCGGGTTGATGAGGCTTATTAGGCACCTAGCAATACAGTCATGCTAATATGCCGAGAAACTGAGTTAAAAATATCCAAGAACACAATAACAACAACATACATGATCGTGTGAATAAATATGAATAAATAATTTTAAGAAGGATAAAAGAACAATTCTATAGAGAGTATTACGTGGTCTGTAATGGGAAAACAAACCGCTTAAGCGAAAAAGGTCTATTGCTTTAGAGCGATTTTCAATTAAGAGTCGAAAAACTAAAGCCAAACCAATAACTTACCAATTGGACTACTCAGCCAATCTCAAAACCGTAGTAAAACCAAAACCAAAACCGAAGTAATTGCCTGATTATTCTCGACACTCATTTTAAAACCGTCTTATTTTACATGTGAAACTCTTATTGCTTTCAATTTGTCCCCTTTGCCTTGGTTTTGTTGTTATAGATTTGTTCAATACACGTTTGTATTTTGATCGAGCTTACTAAACTCTAAGGTGCAACGTGTATAAATTAAGGATTGATTGATTGACTGATTCAGCGTTTTGCAATTTCCATTTGCCTCGACGCACAGTAACTTCAGTACTTGCCCAAATCGACTTAACAATGAACTTTGAGAAGTCTACTTCACTTGTCACACTGTTAAATCAAGTACCATTTAATTTATTTTCCGATTTTACTCAGTTTGCAAATGATCTTCTTCAAGCGTAATCGTTGCATCCTACTAAAAAGGAGCAGTGATTTTGTTTTCGTTGATGTTGTCACTCACGTTATATATTTCGCGCGCTTGCCGGAGTGTGGAAGTTAGAAGGGTTATCACGAAGCTTGAAAAAGTACATTCGCATGAGGGAAAAACCATCATAACACTTACGTCTTGGTCATATTGTCGTAGAAATTGAAAAGCCGGCTGTAATACTGCGAGGGATATGCGAGGACTTTCTCATCTTTCTTGAATTTACGCCCTTGCTTGGCGAAAACCGCATTTACCAAGGCAACGAGTTTGTTTAGCTGCGAATCAAAAGTAGTTAAAATAAAACATTTTAAAAACAGGTACATTGAACAAGAATATTCCCACAAACTAGTAGTGGAATCCAAGTCAAATTTCATAAAACTAACATTCCGCGTTTTAATGAGTAAAGCAATGGCTGTGCACGTGCGTCGTAAATCTTTGTGCATTTCTTAGAAATTTCCTCTGCAAAACAACATCGTGCAATGACTAAGCTCTGAGTATTTGGATAACGCGAACGACGGCGGCTAAGTTTTGGCATTTTGATTTAAAACTGAATGCTGGCGTTACATATTTAGCTTGAGCAAGTTCTGAGACCAATAGGCGCACTGGACAGATCTACACAACTGCGAAATTCGAAGATAAAACATAGATTCATTTTTTTCTAGGCGTTGTCCTCGGCGTCGCCGTCGTCATTTGCTTAAGATGGCTATTGGTGTTCCAAAACGGTGAAACGGCGGCCATGTCGGAACAATCCTGTGGGAGTTGAATTCTTTTCTTATGTCAACAATTTGCATGGCTATCAGCCACGTGTGTGAGAAACGCTCCATAGTGATAACCAACCACAGTTTAGCTGAGTTTGCAATTCTCGTTTCCAGATATATATTATGGGAAATCACAAGATATTTGCCCAGGTCACATATGTGGTTTTTCAGAGGGGCTCTGTATACCAAAAGCGCTAAAAGTTAAAAGTCTGAAAACGTAAGCTATTCTACATTTACAAAGTTACCGTCAAAGAACACAGCCAAAAGTTATCGAAAGAAAGCGGTTTAAACACTCTTTCATCTGGAAATATCAACGAAATCAGTCAAGAAAAGTGGCAGTAAAAATAGTCACGTCTGATTCCAACCAAGAGGAGCAAGGCCTTTGCTATATGATCGGAATTATCGAAATTTTATGTTAAAAGAAACTGCAAAAACATAAACTACTCAACGGAAACGCTTCCAGATTACTGAGGCCAACAACACGCAACATGTCGCAACACGTCGCAACACGTCGCAACACATCGCAACAAGGTGGCCCATATCAAACTTTGCCTATTGTTATGGTTTACATTTTTTAAGACAATAAGCCTTTTGTTGTCTGTCCGTAGGGATTTTTCCGTCCTGTTTCGCGAAATTATAATCGGGTCAAATNAAACCTACGTCTACTTTAGAAGCCCTGCTGAATCTTTGCAATGTTGTCCTCAGGTCAAAGGTCGCCACTCCTGAAGGAAGTTCTTTCTTTAGCGTTTCTATGATGGAGCTTTCATCCGGGTTTTTTTCCAGCTATTTTTGTTAGAAACAAAGAAAGCAAATGAGCCTCAGTCCTCGGAGAATATTCTATCTCAGTATATACCAGACAAGTGAATAGTGCTTTTCGCGCGCTCTGGTTGGTTAACTCGGAGGTGATTAGCAAGTACTATTCACCTCCGAGCAGCCGGCGCGAGAGATTTTAAAATTTCCGACCGCTTGTGACACATAAAATAACGTTTTGGTCAGCTAATTATTCAGCTTGTGTGGTATATACTAAAACAATATTTCACCTCAGTGTCGGTGAAAGTGATGGATATTTACCTCCACTTCGGTGAATAATTGTTAAATATGTAGGTATGTGCGGCCCCAAAGGGTCTGGTTTTTAAGCCGTTTTGGTCTGAAAATTGGCATAAATTTTGACCATTTTGGTCTGAAATAGAGTACGTGTACTAAATTTAGAGGCCTGAAATGGGATATCGATTTTTCGCTAAGGTATAAAAGTGAGTATGGAAAATCACTGATTTTGGTCTGGAATAGGGTAAGGGTTTCAAGGTTTAGACCGCACACCCCTACCAAAGACGTTGGGGAGTACCTCCCCGGGGCATCAGTTCACTACGAAGTAACTAGGAGAAACTCATGCTAGGGTAGGTCACTTACCGCGGCCATGCTTGAATTTTTACCAGTTTTTTTGTGCTGACATTTAAAGAGAGAACAGCACGATGCTAAAGAGTTTGCAAATCATAAAACTATTCCTTGGCCGGCACGAAACGCTGTGTTAGATTAGCCACATTTACAAGTTATTTACAGCCCACCGTCAAATTCAACCGTCAAAATCAAGATTTCGGTGTTTTTACTTCGGGGTTGTGTTTTTAGAATGGAGAGCAAATTTCGTGCGGATTATGAGAACATCAAGGTGCAAATCAATGAGGGATGGCCGTCTGAGACGAGGAAAAATACAGATTTAGGGTTTGAGTAGGGATAGGGATCCGCTTGAATTGGAGTAGTTGTCAGTAGTGCAGTTTATCCGGGATAGGGGTGGTAGCAGGGTAGGGGTGGGGTCCGCTGGTCTCTAAACACCCAAACCGGTACCTCTCGGGAAGTATTGAGCCCAAATGACACTCCAGTCTATTAATTATACTTTTAGTTTCCTCCGCTGCCGTTGATTATAAATTATTACTTGTGAGACAGCCATATGTAGCTATAAGTAAAGCACTAAAATAAGTAAAACTTGGAAAATAAATGGAACTGCTTTGCAGTGATTTGTTTGCTAACCTTGGCCAACTTGGTTTCAAATTCAAAGACTTTGATCATCTGTTCGTCAGAGTCAGGACCACCTCCAAGATACTTAGCGACTTTCTTCATGTACGTCATATAAGCGTTTCGAACCTGAAACAGCAAGATAGCCACTGTCCAACGTGGGATGCCGTTTTCTTATGTGGAGTAGGATGTTATTTATAAGGCACGTCATTTCAAAGAAGAAATATCCTTTGGCGTAAGACTATCCGGGGAAGAGCCATCTCAGTATTTTCTTGGGGCGAGAATTAATATGAATTCGTAACGAATCTAAAGTAAATTGAGTTCTGGCCGGCCGTCACCGTTCTAACGGGGCAAAATTCCAGCTACAAGTCTTACTGTTTTATAACGACCACCGACAACAACTTCGTTCCCAGTGCGTTTCCCGTCCGGCCTTCCAATCCTCAAGGGAAAAACTCTGGGAACGAGATTGACGATAAGCGTCTGCAGTTCTTTTCCACAAGCTGTAAACTTCACCTCGCCAACAAGCTGGTAAATACTAGCAGGGTCTAGATAAATAAAATTATTTTTAGTTTTAAAGAGTACTTACCACCTGATAGTTCGAGGTATTCTTTGAGTAATATGACTTGACCATTCCAAGTTCCCCTGGTCCAAACTACAGTGAAATATAATCGACCAAACTTGGTGAGATAGTAACATAGTAGAGCGAAATTAGGCAAGATAAACAGAACTTGATGACTTAAGTGACGAAGTAATAGCATAGTTTAGATGGGCTGTGAAATACGTTTGGTTTGCTATTGATTTACCTCTGTACATATGCATTTATCGCTCAGAGAGGATTATTAACGTAGACTTATTGACGGCCTAAAGTATCAGTCTTTATTTTATCGTTTCTTTGTCGGAGATATTAGCACTCTCATGCTATACTGAAATTCGACTGGAAATAAAGTTATGTATTTATGTATATGTACTCTATCAGCGAATCACAAACAACCATGCATGATTTGCACTACGTTCTCGACGTTACCAGGACTGGCAAAGTGTTTCTTGGCATGAGCTGATTTCTACTCTTTTATAGAACAAATAATGTCATAAAAATTTCAAAGTCAAGTCAGTGGAATTGGGAGGGAATTATTTTTGGCCTTACCTCTCGATCAGTGAGGACGCAAGAATTCTATCAGTCACTCAGAGATTATTAATTTAATCTTTTTAATTTACGGTTTCAGTGCGTCTAACGAAATGAAACGTTGTTCACCATTTACACGGAGAAACCGGTTCATCAACGGTTTGTGCAAATGGTAAGCAAAAATGCCTGATGGTAAGCTCCTTTCGCATTGGACATTCACGATTTACTCAACAATCCCCAATTTACCAAGAGAGCCTAGCACGAGATCGGCCTGATTATAGTTCCAAGATGGAACATTTTCCACTGGGGTATTTCGGTTGGAAGTTTTGGACTACCTTTCAAGACGTTCCGTTTATTTCGGAAATTTCCCAGTCTTTCGAGCCAAAATTGCCTTACCATTTACATCTACGGAATTTTGGGCTAAATGGTAAACAAACACAGTTTTCCAGCGTGTAAAGAAGAAAGATACACAGCAACTGACCTGCAAAATATGTTTGTTAGAATCATGAGGATCGATAAATACTTTGACGTCTATAAATGGCTTGATAAATAATTCTCTTGACACTTTGCCGATCCTCTGTGTAATATCCATGGATGATAAAGACTTCATGTTACCCGTCACATTCCATCCTCCCATTTCATCAATCAACTTCCTTAGCGGATCATCTCCTCTAGCCTCAACAGCCACTGTGTCATTGCAGGCGTTGAAAAACTTCACTGTCTTTATAACAGCTTCATTCTGATGGCAGACAAAGCGAATGATTACGAAACATATTACCAAAACGACTAAACGAGGGATTAATAAAAATGACCGATTGCTCGATTTACGACTGTTGCACCCTCGCCTTTGAGTTTGGAAGGCTTGTTTGACCAGTAATCTACAAAATTGTCCTCTGATAAGAAGAAAATTAAGGGATTAATTGTCCTCTGATTAGATTAGTAAGGGAAATTGTTTAGTAGTCTATTTTTAAACTGACTGTATAAAGTAACTATGCATATCAAAAGTTATAGATCCTTGATGTTGCATCACAAATACCTCACATTTTTTCTTGCACAACCGGTCTTATAGTAAAGCATAACTCCCACAAATATGAACTACGCGTAAGACACTCATTTCTTACATCTGAGTAATTTGTGTTTGCATTTGTCAGCGCATTCTTCAGAATGTTGTAGCTTTTTTCTCTGACTAGCGAGAAACCGGTAACGGAAGTCTCCCCAGTTTCCAAAGCATTCTCATCTTCCCAACCACCGCAGGCGTACTCGTAAAAATCACTACAAGGGTCAGCGCTCTGGTTTAGCAGCTTAAAGGTATCTGCAGGAGGAAATAGAACACCTTGAGACTAAACAAAAAGTAAGTTTACTAATGGATTATTTGCTATCGATTTCTATCGCGTGATGGTTGACGAGGGCGCAACCCAAGTCAACTATCACGCATAGAACTCGAAAGCGAATAGTTTAATCGTTTGAGTATAGATCTACAAGTCGTTCAAAACTTTATCCAAATCCTCTTCAAAGACTCTTCGAAAACGCAAGGGGCTCTCGTTTTGTCAACAACCGCACGCTGCTAGGCTACTTACTATCTACAACAGAATAGATAGTGAGTAGCGTAGCCAATAAGAGAACGGCATTTGTGATAGAACGATAGTAGATTTATACTAATGTAAGGTAGTTGAAGAGAAAACAACACGAGGAGCCTAAAGGAATAAATCAGTCAGATCTGTGTTTAATTAAATTTTTGTCATAGTTGTTTTTATTATTGTAAGTTTACTTTTAATTGTAATTTTAGCTTTTTAGCCTTTTTCCTTCGTTTTTAATCTTGTCATGCACATTTGAACATTTTATGAAATTTGC